AAATTTATCCACATAACTAGTGGTAAGGAGGTGCAAAGACTGTTGAGGCATATGGCAGATCCATTTTTTCTTTCTCGTTTGTTGGTCTGTACGGTTAAAAAGATAACTATAGAAATACAGTAATACCTTCAATGGCTCCGATAGCACATTTTATTATTTTATGGGTACTTGCTAGGGGTATAAGAACTTGCAAGGTGTGAAATCTCAGGAGACCAATCTGAATGACAGATTCTGTGTAAAAGTAGCTCTTGATATGACAAGTGAGAGCTACCTGCTGAAACCGCCCCACCCCGTGAACAAAGGCAAAGTATGTAAGGACTGAGGATTGTTGTCTTTTTTTATTAATAAAGTGAAAGGTGCAAGTTCTGTTGACTCACACTGTGGATATTTTTTTAAAGACAAAGGATAAAATGGTTTCCAACATAGCCAAAGACACAATAAAACTGGATAGTTCCAGTTATAGCTGGATATGATATACTCAAATAAAATTTTTAACTCTGGTGAACTTTATATTAAAATATACGTTCATCTTTCCATAAAGTAATAATAAATGCATATTTTTTTTTGCAGGTAAAAAAATGTGCATTTATTATTTATTGTGTTAGAAGCCTGGAAAGCATTACACCAGCGATCAGCAGATTGTTGATGCCATGCAGGTCTCCTGCACACTGTCAGTGTATCTGCTTGTCCGTACATCCCATCTCATACTTGATGACAGGAAGACTCAGTGAACTACCACGGCACTCACAGAACCATGGTAGTTCATTGAGGATTACCAGCTGGCAGCCACTAAGGCTGCCAGGACTTGTAGTCCATTCATTCGCAGAACACTGTGAATGAATGAAGCAACCGTGTGAGTGGAGCCCTGCATGGCCACGCTGTTTTTTTTTTTTTTTTTTCACTGAAAGCTATTACATCCCGTACTGCTGTCATGGGGGGAGTGGGGTTCAGCGGTCAGCGACTGCAGTATAGGGAACATGTTACACCCTAAAAATGGATGTAACATGTAACATGTTCCCAAAGGTGAACTTATCCTTTAAGAAGAAAATATCCTGTGAACATAAAATCTGCATCACACTAACTTGCTAAGCTGCTTGAAATGTTAGCATTCATACATGGCATGGGCGATATTACAGATGGATATTGCTCGTAGACAATTACCATATAGCAGTGCAGGGTGAATTAGCATTCATGCATGGCATGGGCGATATTACAGATGGATATTGCTTGCCTAAAGTTATGCCAAAATGTATTCTGCTACATGTCTTTGGTAAAAAGAAAATCCCAATAAGTGTATACTCAATGGTTTGTGTGAGTGTTATAGCGTCTACAAACTATGGTATAGATATTGGAATTTACGCAGCTTTTACTTTCTGACTTCTTATCACATTTCTTGAGGTGCTAAAACACCAGGATAGTACAAAAACACCCCCAAATGACCCATTTTCAGAAAGTAGACACACAAGGCTATCCATGGAAGATTTATATTTTTTCCACAAGTTTTTGAAAAATGAAAATAATTTTTTTACACAAAGTTTTCACCTAAATGATATATTACTCACACATGCCATGGGTATAAGGAGAAGTAGCAGAATTTGCTCACACATGCCATGGGTATAAGGAGAAGTAGCAGAATGTAAAATACAGAGTATGGGGATACCACATGTGAGACTTTTTGGCAGCCTACATTCTTCATTTCACTTCCTCACTACCTATCACAGTTTCAGAGGCTCGGAAATTGCAGGATAGCACAACCCTCTCCCCCAAAAGACCCCTTTTTGTAAACAAGACACCCTAAGCTATTTGCTGAGAGGTATGTTGAGTCCATGGAAAATTTATTTTTTTACCCCACAAGTTTTTGGAAAATGACAAATAAATGTTTTCACAAAGTTGTCACTTAAATGATATATTGCTCCCACATGCCAGGGGTATATGTGGAATTATACCCCAAAACATATTCTGCTACTGAGTATGGGGATACCACATGTGAGAGAATTTTTGGCAGTCTAGCCATGTACAGAACCCCAAAATCCAGTAAGCATCTTCAGGCCTTTAAAGGGCTTTATCCCACCCCCCCACCTGGAAATGCAAAGTTACATATATACTGTATATGTGATTTTGCACAGCCCTGCCACCCTGTAGTAGTAGTTCTCCTATAGGGCAGCCTGGAAGCCATTAAAGAAGACTGCAAGTAGGCTAGTAGGTTTATTATATTGCAGAAGAGAACTTGCCTTTCTTTGTGCTACAATAAGGAGCCTCTCTGATTGCCATATGTTGATTTTAGAGTTTGGTTCTGCTTTAACTCACTAATTTGATCCATCTTATTGACAACAACAGACTTTATACAGTTTTTGAAGTAATATCAAACAATACTACATGCAGCCCATGCATACATCAGAGAGCAAATGTGTTTTTGAAACTAAAATGTAAGTGAGCACAGAGCACACCAGATAGTGTAGTAAATTGCTTTAATAAAGAAAAAAAAATCAAATAAATAAATGCACTAGGCAACATACATCGTTCCCAAACTGACCATCTAGATTTTGTGGCCACCTCATGCTGCCACTATCTTTTATAAAGCATTTTTAGCGTGTTTTTACACACACACAAAAATACAATTTTGGCAAATAAAAAACGCTAAAAAAATGCTGGTTTGCCACATGTTACCACATTTGCCAGAGTTAGAACCTCTTGAAACCCACTAGTTCTGGGTTTTTTTTTTCCCATCCAGAAAACTCCCCTGCCAAAAAATGATGATTAAAGCATATGTATGCATGGACACATAGGATAACATGCTGGGGAGTTTACTGACTGTAGAAAAAAAATGCCAGAAGCCAAGAACAGCAGCTGTGAAAGTGCCCAGTGTGCATGAGACCCAACAGGAACTAAAACAGTATCTCAAATACATTTTCCTATTATAAAAAATATTCAGAGTATGTAGAAATGGTCACTCAGCCTCCCCCAAATCTTCAGTCTGTATCCCCGGTTCCAACAAATCCCACATAAAAAAAAAAATCCTGTTTTGTGGACTACCAAGGACTGAAAATATTATTTTGTCCCTACATACCATCCAAATAAACAACAACAACAAATATGAACCTCAAAAGCTTTCCTCTTTTAGGGCTGGTTCACACTATGCCCAGAGCTGACTTGTACAGGAAAAAGCTGTGAGTTCCTGTGCGATTCATCTGCAGTTCTGTGCTTTGCGATTTAAAGCCCATTCATTTGAATGGGCTGAAATCGCCCCACACCACACCAAAAGTAGTGCATGCAAATGCACGGCAACTGCATCGCATGGTACTATAGGAATGTGGTTGGAATGCCACACAGGACCGCAGCTCTCCCAACCCGCATTCTAGTGTTAACAAGCCCTTAGAAGTCTTGTTTATTGATAGAAAAAATAAAACCAATTGGTTTGAATCTTTTGTATTTTATATCAATAAACAAGTTTATGTATGTTGTATATTTGGATGGTATTTGGGGACAAAATTGTTTTTAAAAATAAAAAAATACAGGACTGAATATACTAACTACTAAAGTAAGGCCTCCAGAAATTATAAAAGATCATTTTGGTATGAACAGTGGGTTTAAAAAAATTAATGTAGAGCAAATTGGTGTTAAAATTTGATCTGGTAATAAACGTTTTGATGACCCTGGATAACAAAAACCTCATTAATATGAAAAATCAATTGGAATTCCATAAACAAACATTTAGCCAGACGAAGATAGATACTATAGATAGATAGATAGATAGATAGATAGATAGATAGATAGATAGATAGATAGATACTATTCAATCAAACTTAAATCAGTAAATTTAGTTTTCTAATTTAAATGAATTTAAACTTAATTCAACAAACTTAAATCAAAAATATGAATTCATATTTAAGAAATATACAGGGATTGGGCAAGAATATGAAAACACTACATGATTTGCAGGTGTGAAAGCGACAACGTGATTTGCATTGAAAGCGGACGTGATGTAACATTCTTTTGCTTCCGCTGTGTGATGAGACACCTAGCTAACAGGTGGTAAATCTCACTTTCATCATTCACTGAGTGTGATGCTAGTAAATCAGAGCTTACAGAGCTTCAAACAGGGCAAATTGTTTGTAAGGTATCAAAGGTTTTGATGGCATATATGGTTTCTGGGAAAACGCTGTCTGATAAGCATACGAGCAGTCGATATGGGCAACTGCCGAAAGAGACAAAAGGACATTGCACAAGATTGTGACCCGGGTTTTTGCATGAAGAGTCGTATCAGATTCTATTAACCACCATCCATGACTTATATTTGTCAATTCCCAGGAGAATTCAGGCCATCTTGGTTGCCAAAGACAGCCCAACACCACAATATTCTTTTTACCATACTTGTTTCCATAATTTGGGGCATTGTCCATTTGTCCATATTGCTGTATGCTATTTTCTAAAAATCAAGGTAAATAAAGTTGTTCTTTTTTATTAACATAAAGCAGAAACAGTCAGTAAATTACTTAATAAAGATTTAGATTTTTTTATTGCTGACTTCACATCCTTATTCCTCAAGGTGTAAATAAATGGATTTAACATTGGAGTGAGAACAGTGTATACAAGAGCTAGGAATTTGTCCATTTGGTTGCCAATTGGTATGATATATACAATCATGGCTGTGCCATAATACAGACTGGCCACAGTAAGATGAGAGGAACAGGTGGAGAAAGCTTTTTTCTTTCCAGCAGAAGTTTTAATTTTTAAGATGGTATTGATAATGTGAATGTAGAAACATATAATGACTATAAATGGGATGACTATGGCTAAGACAGCCGCTACTAGAATAGCCAGTTTGCTGATAAAAGGATCAGAGCAAGACAAATCTTGAAGTGGCGCTGCATCACATACAAAATTGTTGATCTGATTTGGACCACAGTAATTTAGACGAGCGGTGCAAAATGTAGTTACAAAGGAAACAGTAAGCCCAATAAGCCATGGTGTCCCGGCTAATTTAAAACAAAGCTTCTTACTCATAATAGACAAATAATGCAAGGGATTGTTAATAGCTAAATCCCGATCAAAGGCCATTACTGCCAAGAGGTAGCATTCAGTTATCCCTAATCCGTTAAAGAAATATAACTGTGTGAAGCATCCTAGAAAAGAAATATTCTTTTTTTCTGAAATTAAGTTATCCAAAAGCTTAGGTACAGTTACTGTTGCAAACATAATTTCCAGGAAGGCAAAGATGCCTATAAATGTATACATTGGGTTGTGAAGTAAAGGATCAATTATAATCAAAATAATAATAGAAATATTTCCAGTGACACAGATCATGTATGACAGCAAAATGATGAAAGACATTAATATCTGCAAGTGTGCCAAGTCAGAAAATGCCATTAGGATGAATTCTTTCACCATAGTCTTGTTGTGGTCATCAGCTATGTAGGATGATAATGTCTAAAATGGAAATACAGTTAGCTGCCATTAACAAGCAAGGAAAGTAGAAAGTATACATATCCATACAACTCGTGATTAGGAAAGTAGAAAGGATACATATCCATTCAACTCGTGATTAGGAAAGTAGAAAGGATACATATCCATACAACTCGTGATTAGGAAAGTAGAAAGGATACATATCCATACAACTCGTGATTAGGAAAGTAGAAAGGATACATATCCATACAACTCGTGATTAGGAACGTAGAAAGGATACATATCCACACAACTCATGGTTAAAGATAACTGCATTACCCAAAGTATGTCATGCAATGGCCACTGCAGTTATGCTTTGGTATATATTACTTTAATATATTATACTGTATAGTCTGGAGGGTACAATCAGATAAAAAAATCACGCAAAGTATTTTTTGTCTTTTTAACTACTGTACTGTAAGTTGCAACTATGGCAACTGTATATTTCTTAAATAATCCCTTAAAATTAAAATAAACAATTGATTAAATGCATCCTAATAAATTTGAATGTCAGGGTAAATGTCACATTTAGTTAAGTCAATCATTGTTTTACTCCACACTTACTAGAGAATTATCACCCATGGTCCAAAGAGAGGTTATTATTTTTCTCTCTGATACAGCATGTAGAGCATATAAAGATCTAAACAATTTTGATGTGTATCAATTTATAAAATAAAACATCGGCTTGAGAGGAGGAACCTAGATAATTGCAATTCTCATTTGATAGTCAGTTACATATTTTAATAAAACATCTGAGAATACATTTAAAAAATACCCATAGGAGTTTGTTATAGTACTTTTAATTTATACTTGTTCTGCCATTGATTCCATTTTTTTTTAGATAAAATAGAGAATTTAAATCTTTGATGGCAGATATTTAAAAAAAACTTTTACATTTCTGTAGGAATTTCCATTTGTCTAACTATCTTCATACAGTATATGTAATTTGAAATGACAGTAAAGTTAGTATACAAATTTTTTTTACAGGCATTTAAATATCTTTTCCTAACTTACATACAAACAAAGCTATCCTGCAAAAGTGACTGGGGCTGGGACAACCCATAACAATATAGCAACTTTTTTTTAAGAAAGATTTTAACCATAATAATTGTGCCTACCAAAAGCCCTCTGGCAGAGTTATGGTTTAACCACTTGCCGACTGTGCTGTAGTCAAATGATAGCTACAGTGTGGTTGTCCAATTCTGGGAGGGCGTCTATTGACCTCCACCTAGAACCATGCTCATTGTGGTGTGCACATGGAGTTCTCTGTGATCGCTGTGTACTTCAGACACTGAGACAGCTGATCACAAATTACGGTAAAGGGGCAATCACTGCGGCCCTTTATTATGTGATCAGCTGTGTCCAATCACAGATGCTCATGATGTGAACACACTTGCTGGTTATCGGCAGTACTTTCCTCATGCTGCTGTCACAGTGTGAGGAAAGTACTGCTGATAACTGACAAGTGTGAAAGGGTACATCTACATTGATAATCAGAGCACTGATTACTTCTGCCCCAACAGTTCCCATCAGTGCTGCCTATAAATGCCAGTTAGTGCCCATCAGTGCTCCTAATCAGTGCCCTTCATTGTTTCCTATTAGTGCCTATCAGTACCACCTATCAGTGCCCATTATTGCCACCTATCAGTGCAGCCCATCAGTGCTGCCTGTCAGTGCCACCTCATCATTGACCATCAGTGCAGCCTCATCAGCGCACATCAGTGAAGGAGAAAAATAACCTGTTTGAAAAATTTTATACTACCATAAAAAAAGCAAAGCTCAAATAAATATGTATGAATATATGATGTCCCAATTGGTGCAAAAAGTAGCTGTGCTGTAATATGAATATAGTGCTCCACTTGACAGTGCCTTTGTGTCCCACATGGACTTGCACTCACTCTCTGTTGGGTGACCAACTATCACTAGCATTGGCAACTGTGCTTGTGGGGCAAACCCCTATATGATCTCCAGTCAGTTATTCAGAACCAAGCTGTGTTTCTCAAAACAAAAAAAAAGATGGAAGATAGGGTCCCATAGTGTAAAACCATATGGTGTCTTTATTGACTATGTTTAAAAATTTACACTCACATAAATAGGTGCCCTATGGACCGGCACCCAGTATAGTCATCTTAGTGTCTACAAACACTAAGATGGCCGCTATTCACTTCTGACACTGGAAACTCAGATACATTCCACCGCAAATGTTTAAACGTATTCAATAAAGACACATCATATACTGTATGTAAGAGCTGAAGTATATCTATGATATGTGTAGTTAGAATTTTTTTTTTTTGTATATGCACTGTAGTTGTGTTACACAAAGTAAAAACTGCAGCAGTGGTATTTTTGTTGCAGTAATTCACAATTTTAGGTTTGTATTTGTTGCTTTGTCAGTTTAGGCATGGAGTTACTTTTATATATTAAAAATTTTATCATAGAAACAAAGAAAAACAGTTTTTCCAACATTTTTGGGTTTTTTTCATTTTTTTAGCAAAAAGTAGTGATTAAATACCACCAAAAGAAAGCTCTATTTGTGTAAAAAAAATCATTAAAAAATGTCATATGGGAACAGTGTTGCATGATCGTGTAATTGTCATTCAAAGTGTGACAGGGCTGAAAACTGAAACTTTTATTAAGGATGAAGCAAATGTACCTGGGTTCAGATTGAGGAGGGTTTGCAAAAAATGACTAATGTCTTGGTGCCAAATCCAAATCCCACTGAAGTCAATAAGAGCTGAATTTAAAAAAAAAAAACAGTAATGTCCATTGACCCCAGTAACCACATGATCCCTGGATGTGGGGTCTGTGATAAGGGGGGCTTATAGGAATCTGAAAGTCCCCCTTTAAAAATAGGGGGGCACCCATATATAACCCCACCAGGTAAATAAGGAAGTGGTACATAGTCCTCCTGCTCTTTCACACAAGAAAAAAGTAAACTTTAAAATTAAAAAACAAAAAATGTCAACAAGGTACGTCTATTGTTTATCACCATGTCGGTCACATTGAACAATGTCTGAGAGTCACCAAAAATGATAAATACCTTCAACCGATGAGCAAGCCCCATTCCATCACTGACTCACACCAAATGACATCTTTCATCCCTGCCAATAAAAGTAAACAAAGGAGCTATGTCTCCCATGTGAAGTCAAAGTTATTGTCCAAATATGACCTCATGTCATAACGGTATCCTTTTTTACATGGTCGGGGATTCCTGGCTAGTAAATGATTGGGGCCTAGTGATGTCACTGTTTGCTAAAGACATGGAGAGTGCCAGCTGCTATAAATGACCATCGGTTCCTTCCAAATTGGCTAACAGTCCAGCATTCTGATGGCTGATTGCAAACAGCAAAGGTTCAGTCCAAACCTTGAGCTCATCCCCACTTTTTTAGAGTTTTCTGCAATTAAAGTAGAAGTTAAGGTATACAAAATCATACAGTGCATACTTCTGTGTCAGTCACTTCTGTCTGCTCTGTTCCTCCAGCACTCACTGGAGCACAAGGCTAGAGAAGGGGGTGCTCTGGTTCCTAGCCATGCACTAAAAGATAGAACCAGGTCTTAATAAGGCAGCCAAGTGGAGTGGATCCTGACAATATTGTCAGGATCCTCCCTGAGGCTGGCATGACTCTACCTCATCAATTGACTGTGTCAAAAGTAAATGTACTCCTTTGACCCTAAATAGAAGTACAGACACATACGTTTGGCCATACTTCCCTTTTAAGACATTTCTGCAGCTTTTAGCAGTGACTTTTCCTATGTTCTGCAACGCAGCACAGTGGCTAAGTGGTTAGCACTTCAGCCTACCAGCCCTAGAGTTGTTGGTTGAAATCCCCACCACAGCACTACCTGCCAGGAGTTGGCTTGTTCTCTCCATGCCTACATGTTTCCTCTGGTTTCCTCTCACATCCAAAGACATGCTGTCTCCTACTATCTAAATTGTCCCTAGTATATAAATGTGAGCCAAGGACCTTAGATTGTAAGCTCCTTTAGGGCAGGGACTAATGTGAATGTATAATAAATCTGTGTATTGATGGGGCTATATAAGTAACCTGTAATAAAATAAGTGAGAACTGAGTTCAGTTTTCCTGTGGGTCTCATATGCCTTAAGTATGGTGTATTTTAGAAGACACTAGAAGCATTAGTTAAGGATATGAGGGGCATCTGAATTAGACTGGCACTTTCAAAGAGGGTAAGCAAAGGTGGGGTTGATTACAAAGGACGTGTAGTGTCTGATCTGTGTGCAACAATAGCGTTCTCTTTGCTCTTGCCACTATCGAATTAGGGCAGGATACTCAATACTGGGGTAGATAGGAAGCATCAAGGAATTTTGAAAAAATTAGGCATCCTGAGCGTTTGACAGCACCTCAAAGTACACAGAGAATCAGCAATCATACAATTTAGGGGTTTTGAAAAACTGGGCTAATACTCTAGGAACTCCATTTTTTCATTAAAGGAGTTACAATAACTGGTGGATAGTCTATACGTAGTACTAAGGTGTTCGGAGTTACCCCTTAGGCGCACAACTCCCTGCTTTTATTATCTAATTTTCTTGGTCCTGAGGGCAGTTCCCCTCCATGAGTGCCTGTTAGATTAGCCCCTATGTCCACCTGGGAAACTAGTATGCCACTGCGACACCACCTAGAGATTGTACTATACAACAATTGTTCTGAACAAGCAGTGGTACCGCAAAACATATCGACAGATGTACAGCAAGGACAACCCATCAAGCCCTTTAAAAGACAACTAGAATATTGTATACAATGTTGACTATTGATACGTTTGCAGGGCCCTTGCTGGAATTTTTGAACTGTGTTGTATAATTGTTTTCATATGGTTTTACCATATGGTATAAATGTTTCTGAACCTGTGGGGGTTTTAATGCAAGTTCTTAAAGATTTGTTAATAAAAAGTATATGATTCTATGAAAATATTGACTGACCTCATGGTGT